ACCTGAATTGTTCTATGATTCTATGATCCTCATCAAGCTCCTCATTCTTATAAGGAGTTTTGGATTTCACTTGCCATGCTGTAGCCTCGGTACATATGGGACAGGCTTTGTTTATTTTCGGTGGGGATGCTCCAGGTGACTACCTGTGGGGTGAGTTGAGACAGAGATCTTGCTGTGGCTGAAAAGTGCAGAAGCATGGCTTAGCCAGCAGCAGTTTACCAAGTAATTCACTGCGAGTGTGCATGCAGGTAGGGATAACTTGGGTTCACTGGACTGGGCCTAAAGCAAGATAGATCATAGCAGCCCTTCCATGGTCTGCCCATTTCCACTATTTTTCTGAGAAGAAACAGGTCTCTTCAGCATTTTCTCTGCCATGCTATTTCACCACAATTAGTCTCTCTGGCTCATAAATTCAGTATTTGTAATTATAAAAATCATGAATTAATGGCTTTTTCTGAATTCTTGGCTGACTCTTTGTTTCATTTGTTCTTTGCAGAGCCAGCTACTATCGGAAGGGGGGTTGTGCAATGTTGCCCGTCAAATGGATGCCTCCTGAGGCTTTCATGGAAGGGATATTTACATCAAAAACAGACACGTGGTGCGCTTCCTTTCCTTTTCTTGTCTGGTCTGTCTGTCTGTGTTGTAACTCCTTTTGTAAATTGTGAATATTTTGTAAAAAACTCCACACATTCTTGTTCATTTCTCCTTCACAACAAAGACAAGCTGGGTCTTTCAGAGGCAGTAATTTTGGAGGAGACAAAGGAACAGGGAGATCAGACCTGTAAAAAGGCAGGTGCTGCTGGGGAGGTGAGCGGGCAGGGAGGTTGAGGCAGATGCTGCTTTGCTGCTACAGGGAGGAAAGCGTAAGTCCAACAGTGAGGAGAACAGCACAGGAGCCTGCGGACAGGATCCATCCTGCCAGTCGGGGAGAAGGGCATCACGGACAGTGGCTTTCATCTTTCTTCTGGCCTGCAGCAGCACTGTAAGCTCTTGAGCTGCTGGTGGCCAGAGGAGGTGAAGGGAAATGGGTGGAGCAGGAGGCAAGAGCTCAGGATACGTGTCGAGCTGGTGGTGGGGACATGGCTTCTGAGCAAGCCCCAGCAGAGGGGTGGAGGTAAACTCTCTCGTACAGCTGAGCTGCTGCCTGGTTTGGCACCAAGCGAAAGAGTTTCCCACTGCTGCGTGTAGCTCTTTGCAATTGTAATCAACAAGGTGGTGATTTCCAGGCGGCTGACCCGGTGAATGCTTTGGAGAAGGTCTGGTCCCAGCCATTGCTCCCAGGGCTCTGCAGTCCACACCACACAGGCCCAGGGCTGTCGTGGTAGCTCGGGAGTGTTTTTATTGTACTCTGAGCTGGGGGTTGTGAGATTCAGTAGGGATTCACTGGCACTTATTTCATTCAGGGTAGCTTATTCAAGAGGTAGAGTTTGTCATAAGTCATCAAGCCATTGCTCCACTCAGTCCTGTCTGAGGCAGCAACCGGTGTCTCAGAAAAGCGTAACCTGGCTTTCGCATTTGTTACATCTAGTTGAACGCTGCTGAGTACAAGGGCGAAGCAACTATATTTACCTATTGATATCACAGACTTCAGTCACTTAACAGCCAGCTGCTAGTATTCATTAAATGATTCAAAGCCCACCATTACAGCAGTGCAGCTTATTTATGTTTGAACCCTGCACAAGCTGCCTGAGCACAGACCGCAAAGAGCAATGCTGATGGTACAGTGCCAAAGGGTACGGCCTCTCATTCCCATGTCCTTCACTTTGTTTTCCTTCACTTCTGTATTCAGGTCCTTTGGCGTACTGCTGTGGGAGATATTCTCTCTGGGATACATGCCCTACCCTAGCAAAAGTAACCAGGAGGTTCTGGAGTTTGTGACCAATGGAGGAAGGATGGATCCACCTAAAAACTGCCCTGGCCCTGTGTATGATATTTTAACTTTGATGCATGCATGTAAATAAGTTTCTCTTTCAAATGCTCTTCTCTGGTTACTGACTTTTAAGATTGATCATACAATGACTGGCCAGCTTTAGTGGATTTGAGTGCCAGTGACTTTTCTACTATTTAATTTTTCTGTCTGTTTTGGGGGATAATTCAAGGTCCCTTTGAGAAGTACTGGCCACTGCTTGTTTGGTCAAAGATGGTGCAATATTTTGTGTCTTAGCTTAGCTGTTAAACTGCAAGTGCTCTTCACAGGTAGGGAAAAAAGCTCTGTTAGCTGTAGCCCTGCCTACCTTTAGTGAAATGTCCAAGGGATTTCAGGTGGGTGAGTTATTTCTCTGATGTGCTGTGGATTTAATCCCACCGGTGGCCACATTTCACTGGTTACCAGTACATCAGTTGCCTGACTCCAGTGTTGGCAGAGCACTTTTATTTATTAGAAGTCAGAGTGGCGATGTGCGCTTATGTTAAGCTGCAGTGACTAGCTGTCATGTACCAACAGGATCTGCCATTCATGAGCATCTCCTGTTCTGCTCTTTCAGTTATCGCATAATGACCCAATGTTGGCAGCACCAGCCTGAAGACCGGCCAAATTTTGCCATAATCCTGGAGAGGATTGAGTACTGCACTCAGGTATTGGCATTCATTAATCTCAGATGGGATGGGTGGAGAGGATTCTCCTTGAGGAGCAGTCTAGGCAAGCCAAAACAGGAGATGAGAAGGCAGCATTGCATTACTGCAGTCACCAGTCCAGGGAGACTGATGTCAGCCTGGGATATTTACCTCATCATGTGGTTGATCCTTCTTGTCTTTCACTGCTGAAAGGCACAAGCTGACACAAGCTTACTCCGCTTTACAAATAGCAGACCTGTAGCTCTGCTTCTGCTTATAAAGCCACCAAGACCAACAAGGAAATGAGCTAAGATAGGCCAGCACTTGTACGTCCTTCACATCAGCCACTCGATCCCAGTGTTCACCCTTAAGACACGGCCAGCGCTGGGCAGGAATAGTCCTGGATCAGAGCACCCTTTGCGGGTGGCTTCTGCAGGTGTCAGCAGTTTTCTGAGTCTGTCCGCACTGGAGAAGGCCGGTGGAGGAGTGAAGCAGTTTGGAAAATGTTTTGCTGCCTGCATCTGCACAGACTTCTTGCGGGGCATCACATAGTTACTTGCTTTCCTTCACTATTGAGGAGGCTTGGTCTGTTTTTCATGTGTGTGTTTGGATCCTGGGATCGGGAGGCATTGTTTTGTGCTACCTGTAGCTTGGCATGGTGTCTAGCAAGAATTAAAGGTTGCCCAGTTCACCGCATTTTCTCTCAGTTTAATTTTCAAAACGGCTTAAATAGCTCAGAACCGCAGTCCCTATGGATTTGGGCTTCAAGGGGTCTGCCAGTATTGCCTTCTCTCTGCATTCCCATTCCTCTCTTGCTGTGCGGAGGCAATACTTTTGTGGCTGAAACTTTCTCAATATTATCTGAGAATGTTATGAACTTCAAGATGATATAGATTCCAAAAAAAAATCCCACAGGAAATTTCACTGGACATAAAAAATGTTTTTCATTGTTTTCGTGCCTCTGCTGTTCTGTGCTGAATTTTAGGGTTGATTTTTTTTAAAGAGTTCGGTTTTAAGGGTATCCCATCAACATCTCATGGCTAGCTGCGTTTTGTCAGCATCCTCTACTCATGGAGTGTGGGCTCTGGGTGGTGGGAATGGTGCTCTGTGATCATAGCTTGACAGCTGTCAGATGTGTCAGGGTTTTTAATTGAGTCCGAGAATGCACGATAGTAGCAGACTGTGAGAAATTCTAATTGTTTTCCCTGGCAGGATCCAGATGTCATCAACACTGCTTTGCCGATAGAATATGGCCCAACAGCTGAGGAGGAGGAGAAAGCAGCGATGCGTCCTGATGATCCAGAAGGAATTCCTCCTCTCTTGGTCTCCACACACCAAGACAGAAAGGATGACAAGCAAACTCTGCCATCTCCACCACCCCTGCCATCAGCCATCACTGCTGGAAAATCTCTGGGGAAAGTGGGAGCCTTGGAACCACCAGTGCCAGGAAGGGTGCAGTCAGCCTCCACGGGGGGACATATCAACATGGCCTATGCCCAGTCCAATCCCCCCTCTGAGCTGCACAGAAGCCGGGGCTCCAGAAACAAGCCCACCAACCTCTGGAATCCAACCTACGGTTCCTGGTTTGCCGAGAAGCAGCAGGCCAGCAAAGGCAGTTCTCTGCTGGAGAAGGAGATGCCCGAGAGGGAGAATTTGGGACAGGAAGGAAACTGTACCATATCAACATGGCCTATGCCCAGTCCAATCCCCCCTCTGAGCTGCACAGAAGCCGGGGCTCCAGAAACAAGCCCACCAACCTCTGGAATCCAACCTACGGTTCCTGGTTTGCCGAGAAGCAGCAGGCCAGCAAAGGCAGTTCTCTGCTGGAGAAGGAGATGCCGGAGAGGGAGAATTTGGGACAGGAAGGAAACTGTACTGTGGGGCCCAACATTGTGACTGGCAGGCTGCCAGGCTCCTCCCTGCTATTAGAGCCATCTTCCCTAACAGCAAGCGTTAAAGAAGTGCCTCTCTTTAGGCTCCGCCACTTCCCCTGTGGCAACGTCAACTACGGATACCAACAGCAGGGCTTACCCTTGGAAGCCTCCACGCCACCTTGCGCCAGCAGTTACGAGGACCCTGTCCCTCGAAACAAGAGCCACATAACCCAGCAGGGGCCATGAGAGCCCTCAACCTTCTTGACTTTTCCTCCGGTGGCCCCTGAGCCTTGAAGAGATGTCCTGTTACCCAATACACTGCGAGCGATGGAGCCGACAGCGTTACCTTCCATTTTGTGCCAACTTGCTCCAAAAGTGCCACCCTCGATGCTGTAATTTCACCTTAACCCAAGAGGCTTCAAATCACCGGAGCCCCAATACAGTAACAGAAACAAGGGGGAGGGAGGAGACAGGAAAGAGATGTTAACCACGAGGCCCAGCTGCTATCGCATCAACTCATACGCATGGTTGTCGTCATGCCCTTCCTGTGAGCTTTTCTCAGTTGTGTGTTCTCTGCTTAAGTGTAAAGCCGTGGCTCACTTGCCTTGAGTGTTTCATGTCTGGGGTTTTCTGTGCCAAACTTGTGGTTGCTGTGGAATGCCTGGAGATCTCCTGCAGCTGGCAGAGGTTGTAGTGGGTTTGGGGAGAGAGAGTCCCCTATCTGAACCGAAAAAGGACAGAGCAGCACTGAATGGCGACGCGACGGCACATTCCCAAGTTGTGTTCCAGCTACAGTCCAGTCTTCGAAAGTCCTTGAATGTCCAGCGGCCATGGGGGTGTTGGCAGGGCAATAGAAAGACACTGGTAGTACCACAACGCTTGAAAGAGAGCAGAGAGGAAGCACAGAGGATGTGTGTGGGTGCTAAGAGGCGTTCTGGGTTGGGGTGGGGGATGTTTGGCTGGGGCTTTTGTTTTTTGTTTCATTTTGTTTTGTCTTCCTGTGCTTAAGCACTAAAACTGAGTAAAGCCCTTTAAAATTCCTTCCGTTCTATAAAAGTAGGAGTGTCCTTCATCTGGAACTTGTGTGTCTCAAGTGGAACCAAGGTGAAGTTTTAAAGGACTGTGGTCACGAGACTCTCACCATGCCCTGAAAATGCACAGCCACCTGCACACCTCAGAGGTTTGCAACAGCCTCTGACACACCCTGTTGCAAACAAAAACATAAAAGGCAGAAGACTACGGCGTGCCATGATCCGGATGCCAGAAACTGTATTTGAAGGGTTTAGAGCCCTGGTTCCTATAACAAAGTACGTGTATGATAGTGGTTTAAAGACAAACACTGCATTGACTCATTTTGTACACCTCGTGCATGAAAAATATTCCAGTTTAAGTGTATCGACAAAACATAGATGTAGGAAATAATTCATGTGTAAAGATGTGCAGTAGTAACTTCAACTTCAGGTTGCAAGGAGCTGTTTTAGCATGAACGCTATCCAAAAAAAAGGTGCCTGTTTCCATAGAAATGGGCGTACTGGAGCATCAGCAAAGAAATGTGGGGGTGTCCTTGTCCTTCAGCCCAAGACTCTTCGTTTCAGTGGAGTGACTCTGAACCTGGCCTTGGATCCAAACACTGAGGTAAGCCTCCTCTCTTTGTAAGGGAACAAACCGGAATCCAGCATATACGTACTCATAACTTTTAAGATGTGCAGATTGAAATTGGAAGGCTGCTACCCTTGTAAAAAAAAATTAAGAGGGGGAAGGTAGTGTGATCTACTAACCTGCCTTTCTAACACCCCTGATACACAGAACCAACCCCTTTGTTTAGGCAAATGCCAAAGCTGTGTGTAGCAGTGTGATGGTTCGTTAACGGGGCCGTGCTCTTCTGGTGGGAAGCTCGAGTCAGGGGCTGCTCAAGTTCCTCTGCTGGGGATCCATGGCGTGGCTGCTGCGTGGGCTTGGTGGGGATAACGAGAGTTACACTTTGGGTGTTCTGCTCTGCACATGGGCTTCTTTAGCCTGAACTAAGAGAGTATTTGTGAGAGTATTTGTGATCTCCAAAGTTACTAGGCTCGCCACTCTTGTCGTGAAATCGCCGCCAGGGAGGGATTCTGCCTTGCTTAGGACAGTGTTAGTGTCACACTCGTCAGTCTCTCTCTAGCTCAGAAAACTCAGTGGGGTAGTGTTTTAGAGTCTCAGGAGAGCTGATTAATGCAGGAGGTAAGCAATACCAGAACAATTTCTTACACTAGCATATTATTCACATGTAATAGCAATTTTCATCTAAATATTCCAGCTTTCTCATTTTCAGAAGGGCTGAAAGCTCCTCATTTTCTTCTTGAGCTCCTCTTTGCATAGAGGCACCCTGAGTGTTTTGCTGCCCTGCCTCTTACCTGTTACTGAGACCAGGATCTGACCTGGGTACTGATGAGTGTTCTTAAAGAGTACGTGAGAACAAAAAAGTTGCAAAGTTAATGATGTTTCACGAGCTGAAGTTACTAGCTCTTGGATCTGGGGCAGCAGCTCCGATGCTGTACAAATGCAGATAAGCTGCCAGTTTATGATGTTAAAGGTAGCATTTCTAAAGAAGCTTTAAAAGCATGAGCACCAAGAGATGATTATAAGCTTGTGGGGGCGAAGGGGGAAAGGCAGGCTTTCCCCAGCCATGGAGATAGCGTGATTACTGCTCTGCAGTTATTTTATCATAGAATTTCAAGTGAAATACTCTTACGGAATGGGAGTTGTTAAAAAAAAAAAGGATGGAACTAAACACAGTAATGCTTCTTACCTGTGGAATACGTGAGGAGATAATTCTGGTCAGGGGAAATAGTGAATTACTACTGAAATTCTCCAGTCTGCTGCGTACAGTGCATTGAGATAAATACCGTTCAGCACTAGCACTTGGCTTTAAGTAAGTGTCTGCAGTGTAAAATGCGTTCTTGTGGGACTTCTTTTGTGTTGGGTTTCTTACAGCTTTTTTCAATCCCCCCTCCTAAATCTTGGGACTCAGATGAATTCAGAAATCTAGTTTGAGCTTATCTTTTGATGTAAAAACCCCTGACATCTCTGAGCTCTTCCACAGCAAGTATTTAGTTGGCCCCTCCATGTGCTGTCCAGGTACAGTACCCCAGTTTGCAGAAATTGTTTTCTAAATATTGATGCTAATCAAATTATGTCACTCTGAAACAAGGACTGGAGTGTGTGTGTGTGTGTGTGTAAGAGGTTAGTTCACTCAATACAGTTGTAAGGAGACTGGCTTAAATTCTGCACAAGATGGTACTTCATACGATTTATTTTAGCATTTCTCTTACAAAACCTCAAGTGTTCAATGTTCACATTTCCTATGTTGAAATTTCTAGCAGTTTCATTCTAGCATATTTCCTATAGCTGTCTGCCGTTAACAAGAGCATTTTGTCCAGTCATGTACCAGTTATTTTTAATTTCTGTTTCTAGAAAGATTCACCTGTTCAGTTCTCAGAGCTGCAGGGACCAGAAGGGGCTTAAGTCACCATGAGCTCACCAGGTGAAAGCACCTGGCATGTGGAGTTCCCAAATTCCCTTATTAAACCCCTCCATGCTAGACTTACTTATATTGTTGTAGGACAGAAAAAAAAAAATTCAAGTTATTTTAACTCTCTTTGCCTGTTTTTGTCTATGACTTATTTTTTTTTAAATATAATTTATTGACACAATGTAAATTTTTTTAAAGGAACTTGGGTTTAAGACCGTTCACTGGCAATATTGACATTCTGGTCTTACTTGTTTTCCTCACTCTACAGCGGAAAAGCAGGAAGCAGTATGATCTACAGGATGTAAAGCACTGCTGGGAAAATCCTGTGCTGCCACTCTTGAAATGGCTTATTTCCATGTGGATGTTACCTGTTCCCTGTAGATGTTAGGTAGGTTTCTGATTCTGTAAGCTGCTGAAGGTAAACTAGGTTGGGATCCCTCTTTATCTGCCTTTCCTGTTGTCCCGTCGTCTTTCCTTTTCGCTGCGGAACCTTGTTTCTCCACCACGTGCTTGGAAATGAGCTGAGGCGAGAGGTTTGGGTGGTTCTGCTTCCTTGAGGACTGGTGACAGGAGAGGGGTTTTGCTGAGGTGAGGGGAGGTCATGGATCCCCCAGGTTGGAAGCGTGAGGGCTGTGTTAATTTGGCCGCCAGCCTTTCAGGGCGGTGTGGTATCGCGGGTGCGCCAGCCGCCCTGCCTGTGCGCTCACAGAAGAGCAGAGGCCAAGCACGAGAGCAGCCGCAGCTCTGCTGGGCACAGTCGGTTATACCCTGCATGATGTAAGAGGTCTGAAATGAGCTACGAAGGATTTAATTTTGCATGCCCGCTCCTGTTACTGAGCCTATCTCCTGGGTGACAAGAACCTTGCCGCAGGAATAGCATAAAACAGCCTTTCACAGCAGCAACAACATCACCGTTTGTCTGTCCCAGAGCTAAACCCATCACAGGACAACTGTCCGAATTGTCTGCATCTGGCTTCTTTTAGTAACAAGCTTCTTTATAGGAGTGTTTGTCTCATGTACAGCAGTTTATGCAACATTGTTTATAAAGGAAGGGCCTGTGCACTTCAGGGATACTATGAAGAAAAATACTAATATATGGTCATTGAGTATTTTGTATTGAATAGTGTATTTGTATTGTAAACAAGTGTAGTGAACCCAAGGCATGAAGACAAATAAAATGACTGTAGCTGGCTTTCTCTGTGTTGGGCTGTGTAATGATTGGATCGATGTCAGAAGGACAGCTCTGGACATCAGTTTTTACTTGGTAAGGTTACGTAAGTATTAAGGTTACACCAACACACAAAGGAGCAGGTGCAGTGTTTAACTGAGACAGCCACCTTTCTGGCCAGCAGCAGCATGTTTTAAGACTCATTTGCATCGCAAACATCATCCCCTCAAGTTTTTTACAGAGCCAAGTGCCATTCCTTCTGTTACCAACCACCAAGATTGGCTTTTACCTACAGTCAACCAGCCAGTATAAAAAGAGAGCAAAGTCTATAGTTGAAGAGAGCATTTGGGTGTTTTCATTCCTAAATGTTTATATCCTAAGGCAGCATGTTGCTTCAACTCTGGACATGGATTTTTGAGTAGGTCTAGTTCCAAGCTCTATTTTAATACTGTGCAGTGCCACTATTGCGGCCTGTGAAGAAGAAGTAGCTCCTGCCCTGAAATGCTCTCCTTTCTTTCCCTCCCTTGCTGTACCACTCCTATGCCACAGGTAGCTGCTTCCTCATGAAAT